TTGTTTTTATGCCTCAACAAGTCTAAAAGTAACAAAAAACAACACACTTTTGTAAAAAGAGACTGGAAGAAAGTGTTTTACTTAAAAGCAGAAGACCTACAATAGGTGAAACCAGATACAAAAGAGATAAAGAGCAAAAACAGAATACAAGTAAAAAGGTCAAGCTCAAATCTCTTGAAAGAATGCTTCTGGCCTAATGTTTCAAACAAATCTTKAGGGATCACTTAGCACTTGAGGTATGAATTACAGGTAACTTAGTTAATACCACCCCAAATTTTAGCAACATCTCAGTTATTGTAGAATAGTCTGAGGGGTACTCAATTTTGAGTTTAAGGTTTTAAGATTCGCCCTGATGGCCATCATCAATCATGTGGTCTCCAAATTGTAATCAGTAGATGTACAACCACTTAAAACTTCACGAGATTAAGATCATTCCACTGGTTCATGAAATATATTAGATGAGAAAGATGAGCTGAAAATATTTTACTTCTGAAAAGATTTTAGCATTAAAACTTCACCACTTTGTAACTGTACTGTTGAGTTTGTTTCTTTTGCACAGCTTCTTAACAGCATTTATCACCTCTTCTGATTTTAAAGAGTATATAATAGGATTAAGCATAGATGGAACTGTGTGGGTTAAACTGGAGTTTATAATTCGAGCATTTGGATGAATATAGGAGGTCATAGCAGCTATATTGGTGCCCACCAGTGGTAGAAAGAAAAGAGCAACDAGAATCAGGTGAGAAGTACAAGTTTTCAGTGCTTTAAGTCGTTGATCCTTTGATGTAGTCCTGCTCAGTGCAACAGAAATACAAACATAAGTTAAAAATATCAGTACAGGAGGAAGAAAAATGACTGAAATTAAGACAACATAAGCCATATTATAACTATAAGAAAAGTCATTACAAGCCAGGCGATATATTGGTCCATGATCACAGAAAAAACTTTGTATCACTAAAGATCCACAGAAAGAAAGACGATTAATAAACCCAGCTGTGGTTGCCATCATACTCATCATAAAAATCCATGAAAACAGCAGTGTAGCAACTACAGATTTATAAGTCACAATACTGTGGTATCTTAAAGGGAAACAAATTGCTATAAATCTGTCATATGCCATTGTCACAAGTGTCCATGACTGCACAAATGTAAAGAAAAAAACAAAGAACATRTAACTTAAACAAGCTTCATAGGCAATATRTCTCCTGTCAAATAAAAATGTGTCCAACAGTTTAGGGATGAGAGCAGTGCTCCCACACAAATCTGTRAAAGCCAGATTAGAYACAATTAAGTATTTGGGAGTATGAAGAGTTTTCACAAAGTAAATAACAGACAGCAGAAAACCATTTCCAAGAACAGTCATGATGTAAACAAAACACAAGAAAACATAATAATATTTAACATGAGGAAGGTTGGAAAACCCACCGATGTAGAATTTTGTAGGACGAACAAATGTGGAGTTTACCACAGTGGTAGATTTTTCCCCTGAGTACATTACTATTATCTTTTTAACTAAATACAAAAAAGTAAATTACAAAATCAACATGATCAACAACAACAGATGATGCATCTGTTTGACAGACGTAGCTGTAAACTAACTCACTTGTGAGAATAGAAAGTGTGTTCTGCTCTGAAGTGAACAGCTCTGTGTTGTACTTTTATATGTTACTGTCTGGTCATGTATTGGATGTTGCCATGTGTCACTGTGTGACTGTCTAATTGGTTTATGTTATAAACAATATGATGCAACTTAAGAACTGGAGGTGTTTGAAATTATTTTAGAGGTGGGAGTTTTCTCTCAAAGTTAAGCAGTTAAAGGTACTTCTTATGCCATCCATCCATCCATCCATCCAGCCATCCATCCATCCATCCATCCATCCATCCATCCATCCATCCATCCATCCATCCATCCATCCATCCATCCATCCATTTTCCACTTTATCTGGAGTTGGTTGAAATGAGCCCAACTTAATACCTTTCATCCTCACACTCAAGCTCAGGCTCCTTCTCCAMTAGAGAGGCTAAGTTCCATGTCCCCATGATGCCAGATTTGTAAGCCAGGGACAGAGTGCTAAGGTCCCCACCTTTGGCAACTGCCCATGACATCATGCACCTAATTCATGTATCCCTCCTGCAGGTTGTGGACCCACAAGAATGCAAACCCTTGTTGCTTATTTGAGTGAAGTCCATCAGGTCCCCATGAGTATAGACTGGAACACCAGTCACCCCTTGACGAGCTCTTCCCACTTGACTGGTTCCAGGATGGGGCATCGGTAACTTACATCCAAACAAGGGACATTGAATTAGGAACATAGATTGACCAGAAAATCAAGAGCTTTGCCTTCTGGCTCAGCTCTCGCTTCACCATGACATATTGGTACAGTACCCACATCACTGCAGACACAGCATTAATCCACCTATTGATCTCCTGCTCAATTCTTACATTATTCGTGAACAAGACCCTGAGACACTTAACTTCCTCTACTTGGGGCAGAACCTTTTCRACCAAGAGAATGCACGCTACCCTTTTTCAGCTCAAGAACATGGTCCACTCCCAAGTCCACAAAACACTAGTTGAGGAAACTCCCATGCTCCCTCCAGAACCTTGCTGAGGGTGTAGAGTTGGTCCAGTGTTCCATGACCAGRACGGAAACCACACTGTTCTTCTTGAATCCAAGATTTGACTATCAGATGGACCTCTTCTCTAGGACCCTTGAATAGACCTTACCAGGGTGGCTCAGAAGTGTGATCCCCCGGTAGTTGGAACACACTCTGCAGACTCCCTTTTTAAATAGGGGGGACCACCACCCTGGTCTTCCAATCCAGGGGAACCCCCAATGTCCACACAATATTGCAGAGTCTCGTCAACCAACACAACTCCACAAAATCCAGAGCCTTAAGGAACTCTTGGCGAATCTCATCCACCCCTGGTGCCTTGCCACTGAGGAGCTTTTTAACCACCTCAGTGACCTTGGCACCAGAGATTGAAGAGTCTGACCCACGGTCCCCAGRCTCTGCTTCCTCATTGGAAGACATGCTGGTGGGATTGAGGAGGTCTTCGAAGTATTTTGCTTACTGACTAACAACGTCCTGGGTTGAGGTCAGCAGTGCACCATCCCCACCATAAACACTGTTGGTGGCAAACCACTTTCCTCTCCTGAGATGCTGGGTTGTGGACCAGAATTGCCTTGAAGCCATACAGAAGTTTTTCTCAATGGCCTCTCCAAACTCTTCCCACATCCAGGTTTTTGCCTCAGCGGCCACCCAAGCAACAATTTGCTTGGACTGTACTCATCAGCTGCTTCTAGAGTCCCACAGGCCAAAATGACCTGATAGGCCTCCTTCTTCCACCTGACAGCATCTCTCACCACCGGTGTCCATCAAGGGGTTCTAGGGTTGCTGCCATAACAGGCACCCACAACCTTGCGGCCACAACTCTGGTAAGCCTCTTTGACAATGAAGGTACAGAACATRGCCCACTCAGACTCAATGTCCCCCACCTACCTCAAAATGTGTTTGAAGTTCTTCTGGAGGTGTGCGTTAGAATAGAATAGAAATACCCTTTACTGTCCCACAAAGGGGAAATTCAGGTGTCATAGCAATATCCGTACAGAGGTTCACACCCTAGTTACTTTACAAACTATAGATAGTGCACACAAAACACAAAATAACACAGGCTAGCCATAATACGACCACTACTAATAATATATATATATA